GTGGCTCACACCTGTAATCCCAGCACTTTGGAAGGCCGAGGCAGCAGATCATGAAGTCAGGAGTTCAAGACCAGCCTGACTAACATGGTGAAACCTCATCTCTACTAAAAATGCAAAAATTAGCTGGGCATGGTGGCGTGTGTCTATAATCCCAGCTACCCAGGAGGCTGAGGCAGTAGAATCACTTGAACCCAGGAGGCAGAGGTTGCAGTGAGCCAAAGCCACTGAACTCCAGCCTGAGCGACAGAGCAAGACTCCGTCTCAAAAAAAAAAGAAAAAAAGAAATGTGTCTGACTAGAACCAACTTCACGACATCAATCAATAAAAGGTTAATTTACCTGAAGATCACCAGCGTAGGGTCTCCGAATAGGCTATCTGATGTAACAAACATATTCCCCACTCATATCTTTATTAGGCTTATTTTTTTAAGATTATATGATGTGCAAGCTGTTTTTTAAAAGAACAATCTTTCCATAAGTTTCACAGTATCTAATTCTACTTTGTGGAAAATTACATCCCACCCTTAAAAAGCAAAGCAAGACATAGAGGAACCGTAAGTGCACATTTACTAAGGGAAAGGAACCCATCTGAAAAGCTGCATGCCAGATGGTTCCAGCTCCGTGACGTCTGGAAAAGGCAGAGCTGTAGAGACACTGAGGACGGGTGGTTGTCGGGGCTGGTGTGGGGGATGAGCCAGCAGAACACAGGATTTTGTTTTGTTTTGTTTTTGAAACGGCGTCTCGCTCTGTCTCCCAGGCTGTGGTACAGTGGCGCAATCTCTGCTCATTGTAACCCTCGCCTCCTGGGGTCAGGCAATTCTCCAGCCTCAGGCTCCCGAGCATCTGGGATCACAGGTGTGCGCCACCACATCCAGCTAATTTTTAATTTTTGTATTTTTAATAGAGACAGGTTTTCACCACGTTGGCCAGGCTGGTTTCAAACTCCTGATCTCAGTTGATCCACACGCCCTGGCCTCCCAAAGTGCTGGGATTACAGGTATGAGGCATCGTGCCTTGCCCAGAGCATAGGATTTTTAGGGCAGTGAAACGACTCTGACACAATAATGGTGGACCTGTCATTCTACATTTGTCAAAATATGGAATATAGAACATCAAGAGTAATGTAACCCTAATGTAAACTATGAACTTCAGTTAATAATGTATCAGGCCAGGCGCGATGTCTCACACCAGGAATCCCGGCACTTTGGGAGGCCGAGGCTGGCGGATCCCCTGAGGTCGGAAGTTCCAGACCAGCCTGGCCAACATGGTGAAACCCCATCTCTACTAAAAATACAAAAATTAGGTGGGCATGGTGGCGCATGCGTGTAATCCCAGCTACCTCGGAAGCTGAGGCAGGAGAACTGCTTGAACCCAGGAGGCGGAGGTTGCAGTGAGCCGAGATCATGCCATTACACTCTAGCCTGGGCAAGGACTGAAACTCTGTCTCAAAAAATAATAATAATGTATCAGGCCAGGTGCAGTGGCTCACACCTGTAATTCCAACACTTTGGGAGGCTAAGGCAGGGTTCACTTGAGCTCAGGAGTTGTTTGAGACCAGCCTAGGCAACCTGGCGAAACCCTGTCTCTACAAAAAAATACAAAAAATTAACCAGGCGTGGTGGTTACCGGGTGTGGTCCCAGCCACTCATGAGGCTGAGACAGAAGGCTCACTTGAGCCCAGGAGGCAGAGGTTGCAGTGAGCCAAGACAGATTGTGTCACTACACTGCAGCCTGGGTAATACAGCAAGACTGTCTCAAACAAAACACAACAAAACAAAGAATAATGTATCATTGTTAGAGTAGATCCCTAACAAACGTATCACGCCAATGCAAGATGTTCCTCACAGGAAAATTTAGGAGGGTACCAGAATGCTCTACAGTATGCTCCATTTTCTGGAAACCTAAAATTGCTCTAAAACATGAAGAGTATGAATTTTTTTAAGCAAAAAAACTTAAATGTTTCCTCCATTCTAAAAAAGAAATTAGGATGTAAAAATATGAGAAGGGTTGACTCTGAAATGTCAGGTTCCACCCTTCTGAAGTGCCAAGTGTGAGGCTCAAGGGCCATGCCATTCAGACCACACAGGCCTTCAAGGACAAAATGCACAGCCCCGGCCCGGGCACCTACAGCCGCCGAGATGTTGATGCCTAAGAAGAACCAGACTGTCATTTACGAACTCCTTCTTAAGGAGGGAGTCATGGTGGCCAAGAAGGATACCCACATGCCTAAGCACCTGGAGCTGGCAGACAAGAATGTGCCCAAGCTTCATGTCGTGAAGGCCATGCAGTCTCTCAAGTCCTGAGGCTACGTGAAGGAACCGTTTGCCTGGAGACATTTCTACTGGTGCCTTCCCAGTGAGGGTATCCAGTATCTCCGTGATTACTTTCATCTGCCCGTGGAGACTATGCCTGCCACCCTGTGCTGCAGCTGTCCAGGGACTGGAAGGGCTCGGCCCAAAGGTCTGGAGGGTGAGTGACCTGCAGGACTCACAAGCGAGGAAGCCGACAGATACCTACAGACGGAGTGCTGTGCCACCTGGTGCCAGTAAGAAAGCCGAGGCTGGGCTGGGTCAGCAACTGAATCCCAGTTTACAGGCAAATTTGGTTGTGGACGTGGTCAGCCACCTCAGTAAAACTGGAGAGGATAATTTTGCACTGAATAAACTTACAGCCAAAAAAACTTAAAAAAAAAAAAAAAAAAAAAAAAAGGATAAAATGCATTGATGCCTTCAGTGCCTTGAGTAATGTAACAAGGTATCCATGCCCCAGGGCTGCCACAACAAGCTAACACAGACCACGAGGCTTGGAGAAACAGAAGTTTATCCTCTCTGTTCTGGATTATCTTCTATAATCAATGTTTTATGAGAAAAACTTTAAAGGAAAAGCTGTCTTCTCATGACAGACAGGCTGTGCTTCCTACATCAGCCACAGAGACGTCACTTTGCAAACACAACCAATCCCGCAGCACCTGCCTCTCCTGTGGGAAAAGGCACTGGCTTCCAGCCTCTCGGTGATATTCACAGTCAAAGCACCTTGCAGGGCCTGCGAATACGAAAGACACTCAGGTGTCCTCACACTGTCTATTAATCCAACCACTTGCTTAAAATATAACAGCTGCTTAGAACGTAGCGTTACTTACTCAATACCTTTAACACAATCTATGCTAACGTCAATCACTTATTTTAAAAGCGAAGGTTGGGGCCAGGCACAGTGGCTTATGCCTGTAATCTCAGCACTTTGGGAGGCTGAGGCAGGTGGACTGCTTCAGCCCAGGAGATTGAGACCAGCCTGGGAAGCACAGTGAAACCCCATCTCTACAAAAAATACAAAGCCAAGGTGTTGGCAGGGCTGGTTCCTGACTAAGGCTCTCAGAGAGAGCCTTTGCCTCTACTGGCTTCTGGGAGCTCCAGGAGTTCCCCAGCTGTGGCCAGTCTCTGCCCCCATCTTCCTCATGTCTTCTCCCTGTGTTTTTCCCCTCCTCTTCTGGGACACCTATCACTGGATTTAGAGCCCACCCAAAACCAGCATGATGTCATCTTGAGATCCTCAATGAATTACATCTGCAAAGATGTTTTTCCAATAAGGTCACAGCCACAGGTTCTGGGTGGATGTATCTTTTGAGAGGCCACTCTTCAGCCATTGCACCATACGCAGGATATAAAAAATCAATGCCATAACAAACATAAGAGGGGAACAGAAAGACAGATACACGTGAGAAAGTGTACACAGGCACGTGAACGCCCAGCTCCCCAGATGCTGCAGGCCAACAGCTCTGGGTAAACACTGCAGGGCTGTGGGTATCTCTTCATGAAGAAGCCAGGTCCTTCTCAGGGAATAGGAGCTGCCTTCTGGGGTCTTGAGGTCTCCTAGCACGTCCTGCATGCTGCAGCCACGTGAGAGGGCCTGACTCCCACCACACGCCCTCTGGGCCAGCATCTCACTGCCGCTTCACGTGCAGAAAGAACACACCAAGGCACAGCCAAACTTGGGACCCAGGGTGGGCACCCTGCCCCGGCAGCTGCAGACCAGCTGATAATCAGGACACAGCTGGAAGGGAGGACCGCCCCAGGGGTCTGGGCAGGGTCTGTGTGGGCAGAAGTGAAGCTGGCCACCTGAGGTTGACTAATCCCTGGGGCAGCTTCTCAGAGCAAGGAACAGGGTAGAATCCCATGGCTCCCACGGTACAGTGGCAGCCAGAAGTGACTCAAAACCTACCCTGTGGTAGCCTTATCTTTCGAGTCAGTGCTCAGAGGACTGACATGAGAAGCCCAGGCCCCACCGACTGGCAGCTCAGCCTCACTTCCAGTGTCTTTGCTCAGCAGCAGGCTGACCAGAGCTGGTGGCTGCCACCTCCACCTTCCCAGAACCCCACAAGGGCTCAGGTTCAACTTGACGCATTTTGTGAAGAAGACATTTCTGATGGCAGCCACGTGGCTCTCCTGGAATCCCACCCTCCAGACCAGCGGGCGTGGTTACATTCTGTAGACCACGCTGTGCTCGTAGACCCTCTCCACAGCTGTGTTACGAACACGGGACCCACTGTGACAGGAGACAACACACCACCGTGACAACCCTGGCTGCATATGAGAGCAGGATGGAGGAAGCCACGCAGGGGCAGGCAATAGTGAGACATCCCCCAACACAGAAAATCATTTGGAAGTTGACAAAAGGAATCCTCCCAAGCTGTCTGCTCCACCTGTGCCTGGCAGCGGTGGTCATGACATCACTGTCCACCCAGCCTCTGCTGGGTGACAGGCCCCAGGGGAGGACTCCTGCCCAGACTGAGAGGGCATGTGGGACAGAAAACTGTGGTCCTCCTGTCACAGCCAAAGCCCTCAGAGCCCACCAGCCACAGAGCCCCACGGTGCACACAGGCAGGAGGCCCTCCCTTCACGCCAGCTTCTACAGAAGACAGCCCCGGGCAGGAGGCACAACCTGTGGGGCATAGAGGAGGAGGAGGATGCCAGAGTTCCCCTAAGCTCCGGGGTGAAAACCACTTGCCTCATAGGTAACGAAGTCATCAAACTCATCCGGGCAGGCCAGGGGTTCCTCGTCTTGGGCAGATGCAACGCCGCCGTAGCGCTGGCCATCGGGATCTGCGGGGAAAAGACCCCATGCTCAGCAGGCCACCCGCAGCCACCTGGTGAGGGGGCCCCTGCTAGTCTTGGGGATCCCTGGGAAGGATGCCCCCAGGGACTGATGTGTGGGAGTTGGGATCCCTGGGGGGTCAGGACAAGCGAGTTAGTGAGCGTGAGAAATCCAGGGAGAGAAAGCAGCCTGGCAGACGGGTCAGAGCCACATCCCCCACGGGAACAAGGCTTCTGGCAAGAATTCTGAGGAGGAAGAACATAAGAAATAAACTTTTTATTTCTTTTTTTTTTTTTTTAATTTTTTTTTTTTAAAGAGACAGGGTTTCACCATGTTGGCCAGGCTGGTCTTGAACTCCTGACCTCGTGACTCACCCACCTCGACCTCCCAAAGTGCTAGGCTTACAGGTGTGCACTACCGCACCCAGCCAACTTTTTATTTCTTAAAAGAATGAGCAAGATGTTGAGCTCTGTAAAACTGCTCACAGCCTTTAGAAAGTGTTCGATTTAAACCTTTAAAAACATTTACAGGGGAAGGTGTAGGTATCATGAAATACTATGAAAACAACATCTCTTCCTGGGTGCTGGTTTCATGCAGTTTTCATTTTCTTCTTTGTGCTTATCTTCTATAATCAATGTTTTATGAGAAAAACTTTAAAGGAAAAGCTGTCTTCTCATGACAGACAGGCTGTACTTCCTACATCAGCTACAGAGATGTCACTTTGTAAACACAACCAATGCCACAGCACCTGCCTCTCCTCCTGTAGGAAAAGGCACTGGCTTTTCCTTTTTTCCAGCCTCTCGGTGATATTCACAGTCAAAGCACCTCCTGAGGCCTGCGAGTGACGAAAGACAGGTGTCCTCACACTGTCTCACTATTCATTCAACCACTTGCTTAAAATATATCAGCTACTTATAACAGAGCAATACTTACTTACCCAGCCTGTCCCAGAACGGGCCTCCCGACCAAGCTGAAGCCTGCTTGCCTCTGAAGCCCACAGACTGTGTTTAAGGTATTGAGTAAGTATTCCGCTTATTTTTAAAGTGAAGGTTGGGGCCAGGCATGGTGGCTTATGCCTGCACTTTGGGAGGCTGAGGCAGGTGGACTGCTTCAGCCCAGGAGATTGAGACTAGCCTGGGCAACATGGTGAAACCCCATCTCTACAAAAAATATAAAAATTAGGCCAAATGCAGTGGCTCACACTTGTAATCCCAGCACTTTGGGAGGCTAAGGTGGGAGGATAATTTGAGGTCAAGAGTTCAAGATGAGCCCGACCTACATGGTGAGACCCCATTTCTACTAAAAATAGTAAAAATTAGCCGGGCATACTGGTAAACACCTGTAATCTCAACTACTCAGGAGACTGAGGCAGGGGAACCACTTGAACCTGGGAGGCGGAGGTTTCAGTGAGCCCAAATGGCACCACTACACTCCAGGCTGGACCACAGAGTGAGATTGTGTCTCAAAAAAAAAAAAAAAAAAATTAGCTGGTCATGGTAGCACACACCTGTAGTCTCAGCTACTCTGGAGGCTTGAGCCACGGATGCAGAGATGCAGTTAGCCAAGATTGCAACCACTGCTTTCCAGGGCAAGACCCCAACTCAAAGAAAAAAGAAAACTGGAGATTGAGCATGGTGGCTCACACCTATAATCCCAGCACTTTGGAAGACTGATGCTAGAGGACTAAGTCCAGGAGTTCAAGACTGGCCTGGGCAATATAGCAAAGAGCCAGTGTCTATTAAAAATAAAGGCAGGGCATGGTGGCTCACGTCTGTAATCCCAACACTTTGGGAGGCTGAGGCAGTGGATCACTTGAGATCAGGAGTTTAAGACCAGCCTGGCCAACATGGTGAAACCCTGTCTCTACTTAAAAAATCAGTCAGGTGTGGTGGGCGCACACCTGTAGTCCCAGCTACTTGGGAGGCTGAAGCACGAGAACTGCTTGGGCCTGGAGGCGGAGGCCACAGTGAGCTGAGACTGCGCCACTGCACTACAACCTGGGTGATGGAGTAAAACCCTGTATCATAAATAATAAATTAAAAAATAAAAAATCAGGCTGGGCGCGGTGGCTCATGCCTGTAATCCCAGCACTTTGGGAGGCCAAGGCGGGTAGATCACAAGGTCAAGAGATCGAGACCATCCTGGCCAACATGGTGAAATTCCATCTCTACTAAAAAATACAAAAATTAGCTGGGCGTGCTGGTGCGCGCCTGTAGTCCCAGCTACTCGGGAGGCTGAGGGAGGAGAATTGCTTTAACCCCGGACGCAGAGGCTGCAGTGAGTCGAGATCGCGCCACTGCACTCCAGCCTAGCGCCCAGCAACAGAGCAAGACTCTGTCTCAAAAAAAAAAAGAAAATTAAATTACATTTTAAAATGCTAACAGTCTTGCCTGCGTTTTCAGCACCAAAACGCGGAACTGAAAACTTTTAAAACACAGCCGAGCGTTTCGGACACAGTGGATGAGAGCTCAGGTCTTGATGGGGGCAAACAATCTGAGAGTCTTGCCCCAGATGGCAGAGCAAGAGACATGAACACAGATGGTGTTTTTATGTTCTTGGTAGGAACTAAATACAATTCTCATCAGTTTTCTCTATAAGAACTAAAACAATTTTCAATTAATTGGGAATTTTTTTTTTTTTTTTTTTTTTGAGGCCGAGTTTCACTCATGTTACCCAGGCTGGAGTGCAATGGTGCGACCTCGGCTCACCGCAACCTCCGCCTCCTGGGTTCAGGCAATTCTCCTGCCTCAGCCTCCTGAGTAGCTGGGATTACAGGCACGCACCACTATGCCCAGCTAATTTTTTGTATTTTTAGTAGAGACGGGGTTTCACCATGTTGACCAGGATGGTCTCGATCTCTTGACCTCGTGATCCACCCGCCTCGGCCTCCCAAAGTGCTGGGATTACAGGCTTGAGCCACCGCGCCCGGCCTAATTGGGAATTTTTCATTTGCATTTATCTTCCTCTTCCAGAGCCTGAGGGGTGTGTGGGACACAGCCATGGCCTATTTGGAACAATTCCCTCTCTACCTCGTTCTATTCCTGAAACAAGGCCTGTGGCCGTGACGGTAAAGCCTCCTCGTGCTTCCCTGCAAACTAGGTCAGCACATCCTGGTGGCCACTCCCTGATGCGGACCAGACGGCACTGACAGACAACACAGGCTGCCGCAGCCACGCTGGTAACACCTGAAGTAAACATGGGCTGAAATGCAGTGGGGGTGATCACGTTTTCCTATTTTTTTATTTTTTTTTTGAGACAGAGTTTCACTCTTGTCCCCCAGGCTGGAGTGTAATGGCAAGATCTCAGCTCACTGCAATCTCCACCTTCCAGGTTCAAGTAATTCTCCTGTCTCAGCCTCCGGAGTAGCTGGTATTATAGGTGAGCGCCACCACATCTGGCTAATTTTTGTATTATTAGTAGAGATGGGGTTTCACCATGTTCCCGGCTAGTCTTGAACTCCTGACCTCAGATGATCTACCCACCTTGGCCTCCCAAAGTGCCAGGAATACAGGCATGAGCTACCACGCCTCATCCACATTTTCCTTTCTTCTAAATGCTATGAAATAATTTCAAAATCATCTTCGACTTTGTTTTACTCTATTTTCACTCTCCTTCCTAATGAAACATAAATCATGACATCAAATTACACAAAAGCAAAGCAGAGCCTGCAGCCCCAGAGGCCATGTGTCCAATGCCATGGTGGCACATCCTCCCTAAAGCCCCAGCACACCCCTCTCCCTGAAGCCCCAGCACACCCCTCTCCCTGAAGCCCCAGCACCCCCTCTCTCTGAAGCCCCAGCACCCCCCTCTCCCTGAAGCCCCAGCACCCCCCTC